TTCCGGTTCTCTGGTAACAAACAAAAAATGCAATTCTCTTTGGCCTCAGAGCAGAACTATCTCTTATCCCAGCAGCCCACAGAGGTCTCAGTGATCGTGGGAATGATTGACTAATAAACACACACACAATCTTTCGGGAGCATTTCTGCTCAAGTAACAGAAAGGGCCTGTGATAGTGAGTCTTTACACATGTCCCAGGCAAGTGTGAAAGACTATTTGGGGCCTGGTTTTGAAAAATGAGCTCAAGTTTGGTGCCCCCAATTCTGCACCCACAAATAATCTTGGGGCAAATAACTGCAGATACCGTTGATGACACACCAATATCTAGCAGCCTGACTGTACTGGCAGATCAGGTAGTCAAATGTTTAAATCTCATAAAATAGGTCTGCAGTTATTTGCAGCCACAAAATTATGCACACAGTTACTGTGGGCACAAAATCAGGTACCAGGCTGAGCTCTTTTAAGAGTCAGTGTCTTATTGTAAAGCATCTCGGAACAACTAGAGCAGGGGTAGGCAACCTATGGCACGCATGCCGAAGGCGGCACGCGAGCTGATTTTCAGTGGCACTCACACTGCCCGGGTCCTGGCCACCGGTCCAGGGGGCTCTGCATTTTAATTTAATTTTAAATGAAGCTTCTTAAACATTTTAAAAACCTTATTTACTTTACATACAACAATAGGTTATTTATATATATTATAGACTTATAGAAAGAGACCTTCTAAAAGGTTAAAATGTATTACTGGCACGCGAAACCTTAAATTATCGTGAATAAATGAAGACTCGGCACACCACGTCTGAAAGGCTGCCGACCCCTGAACTTGAGCAACCAATGGCTGCTTAGTAATTCACTATGCTTCTCAGAGTAAATGTAAATCAGAGAATGGAGGATCTGAATGCAGTTTTCTATGCTGTGAGAGTATTGCTGAATGGCAGAGCAAAGACCAGGGAATGATGGCTCCTGGTGTTATGCCAGGTTCTGTCAGTGACTCTCTTAATCTCACTGTACCTCAGTTAGTCACCTATAAAACTAGTAAAATAATACCTTCCTCACAGGGGTATTACAGAGGGCTTTAGTCTGCCAATCTAGCATGTTTCACCAGTACTAAATTTACTTACAAATGATTTTCAAAGTGTGTGTGCATCACCCATTCAGGTGCTGGCCCATGACTGGGGCTCCAAAGTATTACTGTGATACAAATAATATGTAATGATAATATAGCTGCTAAAAGCTATATTAAAAGCTAATATAGATTCCTTAGATAAAAGGTACTACATAAAGTATTCTGCTCATTCACTCGCTCCCTAGCTGTCAAAGTTATAAGAGTCATGATGACTAACCACCATAGTCAGAAAGGAAATGAGAGGGAAAAAAAGGTACTTACTATACTTAATAATAGATAGGCAAAGGAGAACACAAGGCATGGAACAAAGGCAAAGCTGTACAATTTACCATTTTTTTATGCCCTTCAAAAATGTTCTTTTTTCTTTATTTTGTGGAGCTCAGGGGTTAATTGCAGAACAACCTACCTCACTGGCTTTGTGTTGCTGGTGCTGGCGTAACAATATGCTGTTGTGGTTTTCCCTTGGTCCTTCATTACTGTGAACACGGAAAATACACAGAAATCTGAAACCTTTCAAGGGAGGAAGTTGGGTTTTCGCAACAAGATCTAGATGCAAAATGCTTGACAATTTATGGCAGGAATTGGTGCCAGGAGGTTAAAATAACAGTAAATTAACAAACATTTAGAATTTGGGTAATAATGTTGTAGCACATTTATAAGGTTTCGTAAGTGTTTCTGCATGCTCCTAAAATCTCTTCAAATATGAGTGTGAAGGCAAATAGGCCTAAAATCCTCACTAATATACTCAGGCAGTTTCCAGGCCTTTTGAACATACAGTGACAATTGCAATACATCATATCATCCAACGGATGAGCAGACAATAACACCTACAAACATAAGATGTATTATACCAATCAGATTACTGGTCTCTCTAATCTGGAATCAGACTTCCAGCAGTGGGCAGTACCTATGCTCCAGAGGAGAGGCACAGGAAGAAATCTTATATTATCTCCTGATTGTGCAATGCAGAATAGGGGGATAGAAAGGACTTGGCTCCTGACCTCCATGGTGCTGACCATATTCCCTGAAGCACGGGCTTTAACTTAGTATCACTCTAGGTTACATAACTATATTAATGGACATAACATTACTCTTTGCCCTTCTGTAAATCTCATTAAGGTATTTGTGACACAATGACTTCCCTTGGGACCAAAGTCCACATGTCAATATATGCAATGTAAAGGCATCTTTGTTTTTATTTGTTCCAAACTGACTGCCTTCTCAAATCTAATTTAGACACAGAACACAGGTAATCATATTTATGAATGCTTGCTTAGAAGTTATAACACACTCTGGGCCATGTGCAGTTTTTATTAATAATGCCAATATCTGTATATCAAGGGACAAACTGACTCCTATACTTAAGAAGATGAGGCCTCATTTTCGCTAAGCCTCCAACTAATTTTTTGTTCCCCCTTGGTTATTATTGGACCTTGATGATGATTCACCAGATGAAACATTTATTGGTACAGGTCTAATAAAACTTTTCTGTAACACTTTTTGCTGCAGAATGAACTTTAAGATACAAGAATAAAGGATGGGGATTAAGGATTCTTTAGTGTCATCTCTGATAGTGGGGTTGTCTTGCCCCATACATTTACAGTAGAAGGAGACCCATCTATCCCTATGCAAGGAGATTAGAGAGTACTTGGCATATTTCCCCCAGAAATGCCTGCTGAAATCATGTTTGAGTGTCACTGAAACACTGATGATGTGACTGTTATTTCATACATTCATATAACATGGGCCATAACTTGTGGTCCTTATTTGCAGAGATTCCTACTGAAGTACATGGGCTAAGCTTAAACTTCTTGTAAGTGCGTTCAACCCTTCTGAAATCAGATAGTCTTATGTACACTGCAATTGCAGACTCAGGCATAAAAATACTTACCATAGCGTTTTCTCAACAAATAATTAGCTACAGATAGGTTGATAGTCAAATGTCTTTTCAAGTCATACCATGGGTATCACCTCTCATTTACATTGGTGCAACTAGGAAGGATGGTCTTGTGCTTACCACTCCAGTTTGGAACTCCTTCTTTATCTGGGTTTATTTCCTGGCTATGCCATAGGTTTCCTGTGAGAGCTTAGACAAGTCACTTAATTGCTCTATGCCTCAGTTGCACTCCATCTGCAAAATGATGATATAAATATTCCCTTTGTCCATCCTTTCTATTTAGTTCACAAGCTCTTAGGGGCAGGGACTGTCTGTTACTGTGTGTTTATACAGTGCATAGCACAATGCGACCCCACTATTGGTTGGAGTCGCTCGCTGCTATTGTAATATTACTGCTAACCATACTAGCAAAATCTGGCCTTTATTCACAATTGTGACAATGTGAAATGCCCTATCCCTCTCTGGGTTATACTTTATGATGAGATTACAGAATGTCTCACTTAAACACATGTGGTCCCAAGCATTTGGTATCGTCAAAGTAGAATTTGGGACTGACACGTACAAGACAACAAGAGCATTTTAATCAAAGTAGGACATAAGGTAAGTGGGACTGTTGCTGTCCATCTCTGACAGCTGCTAGTGCAGTATGTGTGGATAAACCCATGTATCATAAAAGGGCCATTGTTCCAAGCCATCCCGATGAAGAAATTTATGCTACCAACAACAGGCCGCTTTATCAGCTGAGCTGACAAATTGATTTTCTTCTCCTGATACTTCAAACCAGCTGTTGCTTTATGGCAAATGCGCTGGATAAAAATACAAGGCATTATGTTTCCAATGCAGACGCTATCTCTTTGGACATTACTCGCACTTCTGGATAAGAAACTGTTTTTCCTAATCCACATTCCATGGAGAAAGTGGTTGATCTTATTTTGAAGCTGAAAATAAATCCATGTATGGGAAATAGTATGTGCATACTTCTTTTTATTCTTTCATCAGCTGTAGTAAATTGTACAAAAATGCCTCCAATGATGAAGACCACGTTTGCTATTACTTTTGGCTGGTTTAATGATAGTAAAATCAATTGCTTACTAAAAACCTGAGTTCTAAGAACAAAACATGTTTAGCCACATACACATGATCACTATAAACATTAAATAGAGTGGAAGCATAGTTCACGGGGTTAGTATGCTTGTATAGGACTTAGCAGATGCAGGTTCAAGTCCATGCTCTGTCACAAATGTGTAGTATGCCTCAGTTCCCACCTATAATATGTGGCTAATAGCACTTCCTAACCTAATGGAAGTGCAGTGAGGATAAATACATGAGAAGATGCTTGGATGCTATCATAATGGGGGCCATATAAGTACATCGTGGAGATTATCTTCCACCAGTAAAGTAACTAGCAGCATCATTATTCTCAGATCTGTTATTATGCTCATTGATTTGAAATTTCCTTAATCTCATGTTCACAGCAGGGGTCTTGCCTACTCTGAATATTTTAGGGAAATCTCTGTCCACCCCACCCCACCCCACCCCTATGCTGGCACAGGTGCTTCTCTCCCAGTACTAACACTGGTGGAAATGCTAGTGTAGACTGGCCAATGGTGTATTTACTGTACTTTGTCACCCAGAATCGCTGGGTTATTTTCTTGATATTTTCTTGAAATCCTCAGGGTAGTGACTACCAGGTGGTTCATTTATATCTGGCTCTAAGAAAGGAAATGAATAATAATACCTCCAGCATTGTGTTTTATGTGAAAAGAGAGGGAGGATGGATATGTGGTTAACACTCAGAGCTGTGAGGCACTCAGATACCAGATGTGATAGAGTTGTAGATAGATAGCTTGATTAGACAGAAGTTAGGAGATGAGGGTTCTATTTTTGAATCTGTCACAGACTTCCTGTGTGACCTTAGTAGTTTTCTGCCTTAGTACCCTTATCAGGAAAACTCAGCTAATGATATTTTCCTACTTTGCAGGGGTGTTCATGAGACTTATATAATTCATGTTTTCATTGAGATCCTCCGATGGAAGGTGCTGGAGAAAAGCAAAGTATTATTATGGTATTATTTATTTCTATAACACACTAAAACATGGCAGGCATATGTTCAAAAGGTTTAACTTCGTAAAACCAATGCCTTGAGAACTGACCCTTAGGATAAATATTAGCAGTTTTGAATTTGCATTAATTTAGGTGCTGAGAAATGTTAATCTGGTAGCTCCATATAACACTTCTGAATAATACAAGCAGTGCTAATGTTACTGCATGTGGTTTTTTAAATTTGTTTTTCCTCTCTAGAATACCTTGGCAAAAGCATTATATGACAACAAGGCTGAGTGTTCAGATGAGCTAGCCTTCCGCAAAGGAGACATCCTAACAGTTCTTGAACAGAATGTCTTAGAGAGTGAAGGATGGTGGAAATGTTCCCTCCATGGAAGACAAGGCCTAGCTCCTGCTAATCGCCTCCAACTCCTTGCTGGTTCCCAGGCAGGCATGTTGTCTCCCTCCTCGGAGCATGATTCCCAGGAATTGCCCATCTGTCAACAAAATATCTACCAGGTCCCATCAGCTCCCAAGTCTTCCTCATTGTCCCCTACGTATGAACGGATGGACAGTTGGATTAAGCCACTTCCTTCTTCTGTTTCTTCTCCACCTACTCAAGAAATATATCAGGTGCCAGCTTTAGCTGCACAATTATTCAGTGAAAAGACCCAACGCCTAACCAATCAGGTAAGAATATAAGCAAGTATTAAGGTGCCAAGTGTTGGAAAATACCAGTGAGGGGAAGGGAAGCCTGATGGTTTTTACTTTTTCAGGGACTTGAGAATTTCAGTTGAAAGTTGCAGTGAAGTCAGTCAAGTAAATTATGCTTTGTTTAGGCGACTTGAATAAATACTGTTATACATTCATAGCATTCTATTGGAAATATTCCTATAAAACACATATAGTCATCCCTGGAATCACATCAGCCCCTGCCGAAATACAGCCACCTCCGTGACAGTAAGTGGCAGCTATATAATGCCCAACTATTTAGGACAGGAAGTGAAGAGGAATATAATAACTGCTTTGGGTGGAATATAGAGATTTATGGGTCCTACAAAATTGCTTAAAATTCCTTAAGCTATAAAATTCCAGAGCTTCATACTTCAGTGGTTGAGGCACAGACACACATTTCTTCACATTTGTGGGGTTTTGACACTTACAGAAGATAATTTGTAACAATGTGGTTCATAGAATCATAGAATATCAGGGTTGGAAGGGACCTCAGGAGGTCATCTAGTCCAACCCCCTGCTCAAAGCAGGACCAATTCCCAACTAAATCATCCCAACCAGGGCTTTGTTATAGAACTTCTCAGTCAGACTGTCATCTCTCACTGAGATGCTGCAACTCTCTTCCCTTTAGTCTCTCCACTTCCCAGTTCTTCAACAAGTTCAAAATGCTGCTGCCAGTCTTCTCATGCACTGGGTCACCTCCTTCTCCAGACAACTCCATTGACTCCCTATCCATTTCAGGAGTCACTTCAAAACTGCTCCCTTGTTGCAGCTTCTCAGTGAGATACCCTCTCTTTCTCTGCTCACCCTTTCTTTAGGCCTGGATGCATGATTACCCAGTTCACATTTGGGTGATCCCATCAATACTCAGGTGCTCCAACAGCCCGTATAATGCCAATATTATTTTTATTAAATGTGAATTGAGTGCCCTAACATAGGCAGTTGAAAACTGCCGTCCCTGTAACAAATAATTGCCTCAGAGGCCTTCCTAATTAAAAATGAGCAGTAATAGCAGGGATTTATCAGTGCAGTTCACTACAGTTTATTTTACTTTATGTTTAGTCTCACAGGCTCATGGGGCCTTGGATATGGGAGCTTCACATTAACCATCCCCTAAATTAGTTCTCAAACTTTTGTACTGGGGACCCCTTTCACATAGCAAGCCTCTGAGTGTGACCCCCCTTATAAATTAAAAACACTTTTTAATATATTTAACACCATTATAAATGCTGGAGGCAAAGCGGGGTTTGGGGTGGAGGCTGACAGCTCGCGACCCCCCCCATGTAATAACCTCACGACCCCCTGAGGAGTCCCGACCCCCAGTTTGAGAACCCCTGCCCTAAAGGAAACGTATGTTACAAAGGTTAAATGATCTAAGGCAGAGACTTAAATATTAAGTCAGTCTATAAAGGATGCAGGCGATTCATCTAATCATTTACTGTAGGCCATCATTTCACTCCATTTACCTCCTTTAGCCATCTTCCCTACCTTTGCATCAAAAGGAAAGATACAGTGACAACAGTGTTGCTCTATGTATTACCTGGTGAACAGATGCTGAAAAGCCAAGTGAACTTAGTGTGTCTGTGGAGATTGAGGTCCATTTTTTCAAAATAGCACTTCCAGTTTTCATGGGTGATTACCATAATTGCACAATCAAACTGTGTAACTGAATGTGCAAAAGAACATAATTAGCCTTCTGCACAGGCAATGACCTGATCTGCACAGGCAGTGACCTGATCTATGCACCTAATTACAAAGAAGGCATACACAAATTGGGTATGACATTTCACGAACATTTTGCATATGCAATTGTGCCCCCAACTTTTAAAAAAAACCAGGCCCTGAAATTGTCACATACCCATTTTCTATTGAATTAGGAGCACAAGCTGAGAGTTAGATAGATAGATAGATAGATAGATTAGATAGCAAGCAAAGCCATCTATCTATCTATCTATCTATCTATACTGTTGCCCTGTGATACCTGCTAAGCTGCTATGTTATATGTTGTATCTACCTTGTTCAGCTATAACTGTTTTCTTTAACAAGGAAAGAAAAATACTTTAAAATCTTTAAGATGTTTCTAATATTTACACTTTCAGGTTTGCCTGAGCTACATCACAGTTGCTACTACAAAGAACAACTGTACCACAGGAGTCAACAGCCACACATACACACGCATTTAAAGGTGTAGAAGTAGACAGCCCATCTGAGTGCAGCAGTACAAATTGAAGTATCCTAGATTACCCCATGTAGATGGTATGGGACAACTGGCATATCTTCTGACATGTTCAGCTGTTCTCTCAGCAGCTGGGTGAAGCTACTCAGTCTTTGAGGGACTCTGACTGAAAAAAATAAGCCCTTCTGAAAAAACCTGTGTGCATGCTCCACTAGGGTTACCATAATCCAGCA